ACGTCATACAAGGATCCAGTGAACCCCCTGTCTGGGTCTTTATTGCTTATGTAAGTTCAATACGGATGTATGAATGACGGAACCGAACAATCGGTGACCAAACGCTGCGGATTGTGTTAGCGAAATTCCGCGCACTTGACCTCAATTTTTTAATTGGCTTAAGAGCAAATACTCATTGATTAAGCCAGTGACCGTCTCCCGTAAAACATGAAACAGGCGTTTGTTAACATGAAGGTGAAACTAACTGCCACGACGGCCACAGTGTATTGAAAGTAAATACATAAATTTTTAAAAATGAAGATCCATTTATAAGTGAAACCTAGATTGAGAAATGTTCTTTGTTAGTTTTACCTTCTGTGAAAACGTGCTAATTCCTGTTATGACGGATGCCCAGGCCGAGGTATTGCCGTCTCAATGACGTCCTGTGTGAGTCCCCAAAGAGAGAACACGACAAGAAGGGTGCAACGGCAGAAGTCTTTTAGTGTTCTATGTAAAAAAGACTTAGGGAAACAAACGTATGTCGACGATGTCCCTTGAGCCAATAAGATTCTCTCCTGAGGTAGTGGCCAGTCCCATTGGCTGTTTGGCTCATTGAGTGAATGTATTTAGAAATTCAAATTATTGATTGATTGTCTAGCACGATTTGTTAGCTCGCGCAAAGGCCGATCGATAGCCTATAATGGGCGCAGCTACTTGCTGCTTCAATGCTAGCCATTGGGCCCCTCAAAACAATCCGACGGAAATGAAACGCAGGGAGAAAGCATATGCTACCTCAAGCTGGAGAATCTTGTTATTATTTGGTAAGAGGAAAAATCGTCGTGAGATAGAAAATAACAAAGGTGCCAGAAAGCACACATGGCTTATTCATAATTTTAAGCCCCTTCAGATAAAAAAACCTTGAAACAGCAGCAGGTGTTTATGTTTAGCGAACAGCAGAAAGGATAATCGGGAGGATTTGGCAAATTCAATAAGTACTCACTTCAGAGAAACTGTGTCACTAAAATAAAAGTCTTCTTTAACTACTGGTGGTTGTGAAAAAGGTATTTTAGGCAAGAGCTTACAAAAAATAAGCCAATAAAATGCCCTAAAGATACGAATAACCGACCAGAAGACATTTATTAACCCTGTCTGAGCGTATTAATTTCATTACTTAATTCAGTGTGCAGGCCCGATGATATATTGCCGAAAAAATATGTTTGCCAAACAGGCGTTTTAAGTTAAATATGGAAATATTTGCCGAATAAACTAATCGTTTGTTATGAGAAGGCCTGAAGGCTCTGTCATCTGAAGCCGGGCTCACAGGTAATTTTGTATTCTTCAGACCAATCTTTCGATAAAATAAGGGCGATTGA